TATATTTTTCATGCTTCTAAGCATGCTTCTGAACATGCTATTATCTTATTTATTCCTCAAAAACCCTTATATAGATTTGGAGCCATTTTATAGATCCGGAAACAGAGCCTTGGGAAGTTTTAGTAAATTTCTAAGGATACCCAGTTGGTGTGTAGTCAAAAGTCAAATCCAAGATCCAGTTTCAGTTGACAGGGACAAGAATGATCAGGATAAAGAAACCTAGGGCATCTGAAATTTGTAAACCAGAATTTGGGGGATGCCTTCCATATGTTCCCACCATTCTAGGTGTTGATAAGAATCAGACAGATGCATAAAATATGGCCCCCTCCCTGCAAAGAATTTGTACATTGCATTTTTTTTCAAGCTACTATCATCCTGTTCTGAAGGCAACCTGAACCACTTGAGTGGTGCTCTTTTGGTTTCTCAGTTAGATTATAACCTCTTGAAGACAGGGTCAGTGGCTACTATTCCGTTGAACTTCCTTGCCCTACATAGATCAGTATTCATTCTTGAATTCCTTCTATTACTGAGTTGTCAATAGACCTAAATGTGACAGATATCCCAAAAGGTAAGTAAGCAATGGAAAGTAGAAAGTCCCTGACTCATTAGAGCAGGGGTCAAAATATTGATGAAGTCAAGAAAAATGCCTGAAGTGAATGTACATCTTTGATTTATTCACAGAGTGTAAAAGCAGATTATCCTGACTGACATATTCCTTAGGCCCTGGTTCTCAGAGAACATTTACCAGCCACAAATCATGAGCCAAGTGGCACAGGGAACAATGAAGGTATATTTCTCACCCATTGGGAATGAGGCATCTCATTTGCTTTTTTACATCAAAAAAGTAATATATTAGACAGCTTCTATCTGTAAATATGGTATTCACCAAAGGATTTTACAAACTGAGGAATCAGAATGTATCATTGTGAGATGACTGAAAAGTGAAGGACATTTTGCAAAAAACACAAAATAATAAAGAGTTAATGATGCATAAAGATAATGTGCAGCGGCAGTAGGAATGGCATAAGAAAATATCAAAATATTGGTTTGGGCACTACAAATGGCTGCTGAGTATAAGGAAACAGAATCATAGCTCATCTGAAAGCAGAGGTGCCCAACCAGTGTGTCTTGGCATCAGAAAGTTACAGATGTGCCACAAAATGTTGATCCTTTCAGTCTGGAAGTGGCTGGATGGGCTGGGAGGCCAGAGCATTGGGAGGTGGTCTCTGGCTATGGGAACCTTACCCAGGGGAGCCTCAAAGGGTGGCCTGGGCTGAGTGAGAGTCTGACAGTATACCCTACAATCCCCAAAGGAGGCAAGCACAATGGGGGTGTTTACCATGTGCTGAGTGGAACCAAAGAGGACATTTATTTTAGCAGCCAGCTGAGAGCGTGATGCTGCCAGCTACAGGCAAGAGACCCCTGGAGATGCTGGGAAGGCTGGTGTTCCAGGATGCCTGGGACAGGGCATGCAGCCCAGAGTGCAGCCAGCCAGAGTAGGGGTGCTGGAAGGCCAAGTAGGTTGTCTTGGTGGAGGCAGCTCCAGATCTTACACTGTGAATCCATCAGGCACTTCTGTGTATTCATGGCTGATGTGCCCTTTGAGTGGTGACCAACCTAGCAGCAGGGTGACCCTTTTAATACGTAGACTTTTGAAGATTAGAGCTTCAACATCTTTGGAAATATTTGATATGAAAGAGAAAGAGTTCAAGTGGATTCAAAACTTATTCTCATTACCCTAGAAATTTCAACATTATATTTGTCGGTAAAGAAAAAAGAAGAGCTGGGAAAATGTTAAGATATCATTTCAGTAGTCGCAAAAAAAAAAAAATACATGGTTTTACATTTTGATTGCCTTGCGAAAACTTTCCCTACGATGGTAATTATCAAGAATGCAAATGTGTGCCATCATCTTCGAAGTTTTGATCAGGACATAAGTGTCATAATTTCAAGTATAAAGTCACATATAAACAAGTTCTTTTTTTTAAAGATCTTATTTATTTATTTGACAGAGAGACACAGGGAGAGCAGGAACACAAGCAGGGGGAGTGGGAGAGGGAGAAGCAGGCTTCCCGCTGAGCAGGGAGCCCGATGTGGGAACTCAATCCCAGGACCCTGGGATCATGACCTGAGCCGAAGGCAGACGCCCAACGACTGAGCCACCCAGGAGCCCCACATATAAACAAGTTCTGTTCATGGAATCTAGCTGAAATTTCTCCTTAAAAGTTTAAGAAATATCTTGTTTAGACGCACTCAGAATTTAATATTTTCCTTAATCCTATGTATTTCATCCTTATATCACATGAAGAAATGTAAAGAAATATAAGAAGTATAAAGAAATGTTCTTACCAAGCCCTTTACAGATAGAGCCAAATCACGTCCAAATTATTCTAGTGTAACTACACTAATATGTCATTACTTTCTGGTGGTGCTGACATGGAAAATGTTGGGAAGTAGTCCCCAAAAGCGCTTTTCACTACTAGAAAATCTTCAACCTTCTTCACTGCAGGCAAGCCACACGACTGGGCAGGCAGGAGACAATGTCCTGTATGGAGGACCAGTTTGGGCAAAAGCAAAATAATGAAAGAGTCAGGATATTCCCCCAAAACTACACGAATGTTGGAACAAGTAGAGGACCTTCCTTCCTTTTAAACTGTCGAAGACACGGTACTTAATTTTGCAGGGCTCGGAAGAAAAGATCAACAGGTGAAAATTAACCCTCGCAAAATCAAAACAAACATTTGTGTTTTATTTCTATCGTTGAATATGTGAAATATGAAAGGTGACGCAAGGCAAACCTGAATGGCATGCCCAGCTAGGCCAGGAAAAATTTATGAGAGAAGCCAGGAATTCTGGCTGCCTCTCCACTGCCTTTATCCACCAGCCTGAACCTTCCTTTCAGATCATCTTCTCAAATTATCCATAGGAGATTTATTCACATACTCAATAAGAAAAATATTTCTAATTATATCCAACCATTCTTAATATGAATGAGAATTATGCAGGGACGCAAGACTGCCAAGATTTTTTCTGCCAAACAATTCCTTTTGACTTGAGAAAGCACAGGCAGCTGCATTGTTTCCATAGCTATCCATATAAAAGAGCCCTTGGAATGAAGCTGACTCGTCCTGCTTTAAAAAGCTCCAAGGTAAGTGGGAACAGGCAACGGGCTTTTAAGAGGGACACTGGCCACGCTGTCCTGCGTCGGCTGCAGAGCTAGCTCGGGTACTGCTCCTTTGGATACTGCACGTTTTTACAACCATGACTTTTGTAGCCTTCTGTTTACAATAGCCAGTAATGCCACAAAATGGATTTTGTGTGTGTGTTGCGGGGGGGGGGGTTGCTTTTGGTTAACTAATGAAATGCTTTTCCCTTCTCTTTTATAGAACTGCCTTGTTTCCAGACTACATCTTCTCACTTGCTAACAAGGTAAGTGTTGGACTAACCAGTCCCTGGAGGAGAAGGTGAGAGCCTCTGGGATGGATCTGTGTCACTTAGCAACCTTTAAGAAAGTGCTGGTCTCAGTAAATACCTTAATAACTGTACTTCAGGAAAGGTACTGGAGAGAGAGGGAAGGAAGTCTTGCTTTTCAGAACAATGCACACACACTCATTCGGGATGCAAGTGTTGGTGGGGGGGCAGGGGGGCATCTTAACAAGAAAACTGCTAATGGAATTGCTAGTTTGTTAACAGAGTATCATTCTATAGGGAAAAGAGATCTGCAATAGGATTCGCTTGCTAAAAACCTCAAATTTGATAAAAATGTATCCTGCTATTAGAATTCATTAAGTAAACATGATATCTAACAAGTAAGAAAGAAGGTACCTAGGAAAAAGCTTCCTTAAGCTCCTTTAAAACTTGTAAAAAGTTACCTTGCCCAATGCTGAGCGTTGCATGAAATTAAGATGCTGTGAACCTTTTGTTACACACATATAGGTATTAATCTGCCCAACTACTACACACCGTGTTTCTGGAGGGAGACACTGGTGGGTAGCTGATCAAAATGACTTTCAAGTAACTGAATCCCATAATGACTGAGTAGCGTTCTTTGCCAAACCTTTCATTCTACCAATGCCGCTGGCAACCTGCAGATAACAGAGCATAGGGCAGCCCAAGCCCGCATTTTCCAGCAAGAAATTTGGAAGGGCAAAGGGAGCCCTTCAATGCAGAAGAATGAGGATAATATAACACTGCATGTCGACTGAACATCGATGAATAAATTTAAAATAATAAAATGAGGATAACGTTTGCTATGGCTTTTATCCTCAATTAGGTTAACCAATTAACTGGATGATAATATGCCAACCCTAAGATATAATAATATGCAAAGATATTATGTCAGGCAAACACTAGTAAGCACACAACTTGAGAAAAAGAGGTAAACAAAATTATCATCCCCAAAACGCCTGACCTTGAGCACTTCTGACTGAATATCTAAAGGAGGAAATGAAGTTCTCTTGCAGTATATGACAAGAAATGGACTTTTCTCCCATTACAATAAATAGCATTTTCCATCGAGATAAGAGCCTGTACTATTTCAAACTGCTTTCTCAGTCACCATGTAACTTTGTTCCCAAGGTATCTGTCCAGTATCTCACAGGCTGTGAATTAAGAAAGGCAGATATTGTAATCCCTCTTCTATGAGGGAGGCACTGTAGCTCGAAAAGATCAAGGGTCACCAGCTCCTCCACAGCACGCGGAGACTACATCCAGCTCCCTGATTAGAACGCTAGTCTTGGAGGTTGAAAGAAAATAGTGCATGTTAAGCCCTGAGTACAGTGTTGGTTACACAGTGACCCTTGATGCATCTGAGATCTTGGGATTGTTTGTTTCAGTAATTACAGCATGGTGCACAGGGGGCCTGCCTGGTGAAATTTCCAAATAGTGGAGTTTCCATGAACTATCACCACCAATATATAGAGATATACTGATACACATGCCAGTCCACATCTCTAATGTGAAATGCCTCATCTCCTTTAGGACCTCTGAGTTCAGCAGCCATGAGTTCAGACCAGGAAATGGCCATTTTTGGGGAGGCAGCTCCGTACCTCCGAAAGTCTGAAAAGGAGCGCATTGAGGCCCAGAATAGGCCCTTTGATGCCAAGACATCTGTCTTTGTGGCGGAGCCCAAAGAATCCTTTGTGAAAGGGACCATCCAGAGCAGAGAAGGAGGGAAAGTGACGGTGAAGACCGAAGCTGGAGCGGTAAGTACAGTCCCTGGAGCCGGCCACATTTTATCAATTCTTGTGTTCCATCTCTCAATTGACATGAACCGTTATGTTCCCTGTTTACCAGACTCTGACAGTGAAAGATGATCAAGTCTTCCCCATGAACCCTCCCAAGTATGACAAGATCGAGGACATGGCCATGATGACCCACCTGCACGAGCCCGCTGTTCTGTACAACCTCAAAGAGCGTTATGCGGCCTGGATGATCTACGTGAGTGCCTCCCCCACCCAAGTGCTTTTTATCGCCATCACCCTGGACCTGCCAGCCCGTTGCTTCCCCTGTAGTATAAATGGGTCAAAAGCAGTGACCCATTTCGCTTTCACTAGTGGTGTAATTAGTCAGCACATGTGTTAACTAGCTAGTACATTAGTTAGTTAACAAATTGCAAGGTTCACTATTGCTGTTGTAAGGCACAAACCAACAGCCAGTACTTCATCCTTTGTCTTCCCATCCAAAGCCGGGGAAGGTCATTGTCCACGTAGACTGGGTTTGCCACACGTCTCCTGAGCAAACACTGGAGCAGCTACTGTTTATATCTCAGCCACGTGCCTACATTTCTACCCACCCACCCCATTCTAGTTGTAGAATCATCCAGAGGTAAATGATACATTTACACTTTAACAGAAAAAGATAATGTTTTAAAGACCAAATTTTACTCCTTTTCAGTCTTCTAAAATGACAGCAATTTGTATCTGTGTGTTCTGGTCCCCTCTATATGAATGCCACCCCCTCGAGGAAACCTCCCATCTTCCCCAGGCAGAGTGGGATGCCCTGTCCTATGGTCTCTGCCCCATCCACAGCACTGACCTTGGTTGTCCACCACCATGCATTCACATGTCTGCCTCGTGTGTAGACTGTAGGCCGGGAGCTTCCCAAGGAACATATCTCATTCACACTTTATTCTAGGTGCCCTGCAGGGGTCTGGCACATAATACACACCCAGTGAACATCTTAGAATTGAACTGATTACATCACATTGACATTTTTGTGTAGTTCAGCCAGTGCTGACGCTCAGCCGGACAATACCCACACCGGTGTCTCCAGTGATTAGGGTCAGCATCCATTCTGACTGGTCGGTGCCTGTGTTGAAAAGCTCCCTGTTTAATCATAATGTATTAACATCATCTTGTGTTCTGTGTCTTTATAGTTTAATAGTAGTCTACAAATGTTGTCCCAGGATTGCTGGATCCTTCCAGGTTTACCTTATTACATGCCTGCATCATACTGTCTTAAGATTTACCACAGTTCACCAAACCACTTCATACCGTTGGGCACTTCAGTTGTGTCCAAACTTCTATTTTCATGCATTTGAACGATCTTCATGCTGCAAAGGAAATACAGGCATATCTCCTAAAACACAGTAAAAATGTCTCACACTACACATTAAAAAAAAAAAAAACACCTTTGGAGCTCCTACTATGTGAAAATCATTGTGATAAGTCCCAAGAGGAATAAAAAGTCAAAATTATGAGCCCTTCCCTCAAGGATTTTGCTCTCTCACTGTTGAACGTTCCAACTAATTTTCATGCCGATGCCTTCAAGAAATGTAGGGTACTTCCTTAAAGTGCTCCTTTGAGTCAGAATTCATTTAACAAGTGAATTGCACACCTAACAGGGAAAGCTCTTTCTTATTCCCTTGCGTAGACCTACTCGGGCCTCTTCTGTGTCACCGTGAACCCCTACAAGTGGCTGCCGGTGTACAACCCCGAGGTGGTGGGCGCCTACCGAGGCAAGAAGCGTCAGGAGGCCCCGCCCCACATCTTCTCCATCTCCGACAACGCCTATCAGTTCATGCTGACGGGTGAGTTAAATGCTTTGTGTGTGCGTAATCTTTTTGGAGCCATAGGAGAAAGAGACCCTAACTGTCTCAACACACTCTTTGAGCCCTTCCGTTAGGCTGGTGTACTGGCGAGGGAGGCGGTCCAGGAAGGAGGGGGTTTAATAGATGACTTGCAATCCTTACCATCACACAATTGCTCATGGTCTCTTCAACTTTTAAAAAGTCAACAGGGGTTGACCATAGTTAGAGAATTTACTTTTGAATGACTCAGAAACTAAAAAAGCTTGAGCAAAAATTATAAACACTGTTTGTGTATACACACATGCAATCACACATACAAACTGTGCTTCCGTTGCCAAGAGCCAAAAACCAGAAGAGTAAAATCTGCCCCTGTGGTCTTATCCTCAACATCAGAAACTATGACCAACGAATGCCCTCTCTATATTAGGGAGGGCAAAAATGCTATTGCCCTTTGCCCTGAGCCAACCTCAACACGCTCCAGATTTTAAGGTGTATTTGGTATGAAAACAGCTATACCATGAATCTTCTTCCTAGAATACTGCCTCAGCCAGCCCAGGTCTAAGCTAGTTGGGGAAAGGACTTAGAGAATTCATCTTCAGAGAGAGTAAAACAGTAAAACCAACCTTTTCCCCAAACTATGACTAAAGCCGTGATTACTTCCAAAGCTACCACCTGTACTATATTTACCCCATCCCACATGCTAAAATACCTATTTTTCATGACTTCTTACACCTACAATAAAAATTCACTATTCACTACTGGAATTGTCATCTAAACCCGACCAAAGGCTCAAGTCCACTTTGATATGTCCCTAGTGACAGAATATTACAAAGAAAAGATCTGCTGCTTTGTTCCAGTGTTCTGTTTAAATGGATGCAAGTGTGCTGAAGTCAGGGGCGGGGTGTGGGGAGGTAGTGGGGGACATGGAAGGGGCATTGGAAAAGACTGGTGGCCGAGGGCCCATGAAGCCCTAGAGATTGCAAAGTCCAGTCTGAAAAATACTAAGTTCATCCCATTTTACTTTACTATTTACAAATATACAAAAAAAAAAAACCACCCAGTATTAAATGTTTATGATTTCTCTTTTGTAGACCGAGAGAATCAGTCAATCCTGATCACGTAAGTAAATTTTATGCTTTCTTATGACTGTGACAGTTGCCACATCTGGAACCTCATCTCACTTGTTTTTATTTGACAGCGGAGAATCTGGTGCTGGGAAGACTGTGAACACCAAGCGTGTCATCCAGTACTTTGCAACAATTGCAGTCACTGGGGACAAGAAGAAGGAGGAAGCTACCTCTGGCAAAATGCAGGTGGGTCTGGGGCCAGACTCAAGACTCTCTGCGCTCTCAGAAATTCTGGAGCACCAGAGGTGAGGACCGCTCTTGCCTTTGCAGGGGACCCTTGAAGATCAAATCATCAGCGCCAACCCCCTACTGGAGGCCTTTGGCAACGCCAAGACCGTGAGGAATGACAACTCCTCTCGCTTTGTAAGTTGCAGACACTGGTACAGACACTGTTCACTGGTCAAGGTGTATGGGTTGTTTGTGAATATACTCTCTGAATCTTTTCGTTCACATTATACTACATCAGGCTCTCTCCTTTCCCTCTGAGCATGTAATAATATGGATCCAAGTCCCATCTAAAAAGATATGTGACCCTATATCTGAGTTATTTCTCATTTGTCATTACCTACAATTATTTGTAATATGAAAATCAAAGATAAAATTCTTTTACCCCCAAAAACAGGAGATACACCTTTTCTGCCTCATACAAATAGTCTCTGGATTTATTTAATATCAACCCATTAGGCAGTCCAAGTATTTTGAGTTTCTCAAAGATTTGATATGATATGAAAACAAAGTAGTAATATTAGTTTTCCTTTCAAGGGTAAATTCATCAGAATCCACTTTGGCACCACAGGGAAGCTGGCTTCTGCTGATATTGAAACATGTGAGTGCTTGGATCTCATTTATAGTCATTTCTGTTTCCTATAACTTATAAAGTCAACCCAAAGTAAAATCTGCAACCCACGTGAATTTTTGCATTGCTCTGTTCATTTTTTCCTACCAGATCTGCTAGAGAAGTCTAGAGTTACTTTCCAGCTTAAGGCGGAAAGGAGCTATCATATTTTTTATCAGATCACATCGAACAAGAAACCAGAACTAATTGGTAAGAAATGTCATAATCCCTTTGCAGAACGATTGCACCAGCACCTCCCCGTGCATGGTCCAGCCCCAGTATTCCATGACTGAATTTTGTCAGGTTTATCACCTTGATTTCGAAAGCAGCTTCGTAAGTTTATGTGTGCTTATTATAGAAATCAAAAATGAAAACTGAAGATAACAGCTTCAAATCCTATCACTATGAAATAACCACTGTGAACACTTGGGTGAATATCATTCTACTCATTTTCTGTACTTATACATATGATAACTGGAATCATACTTCAATGTTCCTCCGTGATGTACTTTTTTCATTGAGCAATAATGTACCGTGGTTTTTTTCCATGTCACCAACTGTAGCTCCACATTATTATTTCTAATGGTTGCATCGTGTTATATTCTAGAGATAAGCATAATTTATTTAACCATACTTTTTAAAGAATATTTAGGTTGTTTCCAATCCTGGATTTTAAATAGCACTGTACTGATCATTCTTGTAAATATAACTTTTCCCAGTATGTGATAATCTTCTTTGGCTTCATAAAGTGTCTTAGAATTTGTCTAGCCATCTCTTGTTTTAATGAAGGGGATAATTCTGCCTACCTTTTCTCTGTTTCATGTACTTAGAAATGCTTCTGATCACCACCAACCCATATGACTACCCATTTGTCAGTCAAGGGGAGATCAGTGTGGCTAGCATTGATGATCAAGAAGAGCTGATGGCAACAGATGTAAGTGCAACACAAGAATGATGATTTGGGGTTAGAACAATGGTCCCTCCAGATAAATATTCAGTTTCTAGTAGAAATAGCAAGAGAGGGTTCAAAGATGAGCACAGGTGTGCCACCTACAGTCAGCCAAAAAAGAAGGTCTATCATATCTGAATTTATCTAAACCACTTTTTTTTTTTGTAATCTACACGAATGAGATCCATACCGCTTCTCAAAATAACAAGTTCCTTAAGTTTACTATCTTGTTCTCTATCTTAAGTTTACTTTTTCAATCTTAGGGGATCTGTACCTATAGTTCTAATGCTCAGTGCTGGCCTCTAAAGAGTTCCTTGCACCCCCATCAGCAAGGATAGTTTCCTCAGTTTGACCAACGTATCAGGAATCAGAATGTGAATGATGAATAGTAAATGTATGGATCATAATGTAACAGTTATCCTCTTGGTTATATTGGCAGAGTGCTATTGATATTTTGGGCTTCACTAGTGAAGAGAAAGTCTCCATCTACAAGCTCACAGGGGCTGTGATGCATTATGGGAACTTGAAGTTCAAGCAGAAGCAGCGGGAGGAGCAGGCTGAGCCAGATGGCACTGAAGGTACCAACGAAGTCATCCCTGATTTTTTGTTTGTTTGAAAATCACATTCTTAACTTGTTATCCTTGAGTTTTTCTAGGACGACAGTCATTTTTAAGAATTGAGTTTTAAAGTATCCCCAGATAATATACTATGTGAAGCATTATATTAGATAGATGTTTCCTACCATCTATGAAGTTCTTTAGGGCACACTATCCATAATGAAAATCTTGAACTTAATGGGGAAAAAAGGGGGCAAGAATGCTCAAAAGAGATATTCTGAAAACACTGCACAAAATGTCTATAGCTTAAAAAAATGTTTTTTGAGAAAATGCGTTGCTCTGGGCCATAATAACTTTGTTTTATCCTTTCTTCTTTTCAGTTGCTGACAAGGCGGCCTATCTCCAGAATCTGAACTCTGCTGACCTGCTCAAAGCCCTCTGCTACCCCAGGGTCAAGGTCGGCAATGAGTACGTCACCAAAGGCCAGACTGTAGAGCAGGTAGGTGCATAATTCAATTCACTGGCAGGAATCAAGCATTTTTACAGTACTCTGATAACCTCAAGAGATATATTTTTGTTTTTCAAGGTGACCAACGCTGTGGGAGCTCTGGCCAAAGCCATCTATGAGAAGATGTTCCTGTGGATGGTCACCCGCATCAACCAGCAGCTGGACACCAAACAGCCCAGACAGTACTTCATCGGGGTCTTGGACATCGCCGGCTTTGAGATCTTTGATGTGAGTTGGTAGCTGGTTGGTAAGGGGATTTTACAGTAAGGCAACAGAAACATCAATAAGAAGAAATCTATGAATATTATAACCTTCTCTCACTACTCCCAAAAAGTTATGCTGAAACTTAAAAGAGAATGATAGAGTAACTACTACTCATTTATCACAGTGGCAGTCCCCCCTCTATGAGAAATCATGTACTTGATGAGCACTCTGACTTGCTACGTACGGGACCCAAAGGGAGTTAAGAGCTAGCTTTGTGTCCGGGAGGGGGGGTCCTCTAAAAATCCCACAGCACCAAATGAAGTTAACATAAAAATATCAAAGTAATCCTGTGAAACACAACATATTCTGAATATATGGTGGGGAAGTCATTCAAAAACACTTAGACAAGAAGAGCAAAGATTAGTAACTTATAAAGTCAGCATTTATTCTCATTAAGGGGATAAGATAAAAATCCCTACCTGATGAAATACAGTTTTCTTGCTTATAGCTTTTAAGAAGTTTATCTTTTTCTTTCTAATTATAAAAGCAAAACTTGGACATTGCAGGAAATACGCAAAATCAAGGGAAAGAGTTCCCTGTTAATTCCACTATTTATATCAAGCTAATGTTAACATTTTGGAGTTTGGCTTTTGTTTTTAACACAAGTGTGTTATCACACTGTATATGATATTTGGTATCTTGATTTTGTTTTCATTTCACATTGAAGAAGAACAATAGTGTCAATTATTGTCCAGTTACAAAGCTGACACTGGTGATTTCCATACTACAGAGACTCCTCCCAGCCAGCTCCTAATGGGTTGCCCATTAGCTCTTAATTGAGTCCATGGAAAATGGAAAAGATAATGGAATAAACATGAAATGATGAAGTAGGAACTGAGAAAAATCCCTGAGTAAGCTTAAGCCAGTGCAGGGAAAGAGCATTAATAAGATCTAGGATTCTGTAATAAAATGGCAGCAGAGAAAACAGTAGATTTCATAGTGTTCCCCGCCCCATGATTTTGATATCTGTAATCTAAAGGCTATTCAACATATATTTTTAAATTAAGAAGTCCTACATTTACAAATGCTCAATTTGCTCAAGAGAAAAGTGAACACATGTATTTATTTAGTTCAACAGCCTGGAGCAGCTGTGCATCAACTTCACCAACGAGAAGCTGCAACAGTTCTTCAACCACCACATGTTCGTGCTGGAGCAGGAGGAGTACAAGAAGGAGGGCATCGAGTGGACCTTCATCGACTTCGGGATGGACCTGGCTGCCTGCATTGAGCTCATCGAGAAGGTCTCCTGATCTGTTCACTCAGTAACATCTTCTCGTAAACTCTGTGGCTCATCCTACGGCTCATATTTACCCTATATGCATTTTGTTTTGCTTTAATCCAGCCCATGGGCATCTTCTCTATCCTGGAAGAGGAGTGCATGTTCCCCAAGGCCACAGACACCTCCTTCAAGAACAAGCTATACGAACAGCATCTTGGAAAGTCGGCCAACTTCCAGAAGCCCAAGGTTGTCAAAGGCAAGGCTGAGGCGCACTTCTCTCTGATCCACTACGCCGGCACCGTGGACTACAACATTGGTGGCTGGCTGGACAAGAACAAGGACCCCTTGAACGAGACCGTGGTCGGGCTGTACCAGAAGTCTGCAATGAAGACTCTGGCTCTCCTCTTTGCTGGGGGACAAACTGCCGAAGGAGGTAACACTCAAAAAATCTAACACTTTCTCTAGATATTCCAAAAAGTGCTGTTAGATGGAGGCTGATCTCATAACCCTGCCAGAAGGATTGCAGGGCCAGATCCATTGTTTTTCCAAGTTTTGACTAAGTAGCCTGCATTGCAATTATACATTTGTGTCTCACTCTGGCACTGACAGAGACCTGCCTTACTGCAAAGGGTCAAAGAGGAACTGTTATGACCTCAACCAATGAAAGGCCTCAGCTTCTATGATTCTCTCCTATTCTTTCCTCCACATCTGCTGGATATTGAGTAGCTGGGGATATTTAAGGCAATGGAGTGACAAACTTCTGCCTATCTAGACTAGTTTCTACTGATGATTTTTGAAGTTATTTTGTCCCCAGATGTCCTAACATTAAGGATCCATTTTTACACAGTGAAGTGAATGCCCTTCACTTCATCTTCTAATGGAGAAAAAAAAATCACAGAAAAGTGGATACAAGTTTAGTTGACAGGTAAGAGTCATTTGGCTCCAACAGAGAGGCCAGTAGTGTCCAAAAACTGCTCCATCAGATGCATGCAGAAACTGGCAATAAATAAGCAAGAAATAGCTTTGTTAGTTCAAAACTATACTTGAATGACACCTTTTCTTATTTGCTCTCCAGAGGCAAGTGGTGGTCCCAAGAAAGGTGGCAAGAAGAAGGGTTCTTCTTTCCAGACTGTGTCTGCCCTTTTCAGAGTAAGGAAGAAACTGTTTTTGACACTCCCCACTTACTTTAGGGATTTGTTTTTTAAAGCACAGAGTTCTTTCCACAAGTCACTGAGGAAAAGACTGACAATGATTAATGATATCTGTTCATCTAGTTTTAGAGAGAAAACATTTAAGTTACTCAGAAATTATTAGCTCATCTTTCATGTCGAGCCACATAATGCCAAATATTTTACAGGAAATTTTATAAAACTAAATATTCTACCATTCATAGTCTAGTCTTGTCATAAAACTAAGCAATGAATGACACAGTACTCAGATTAAATTAACGGTAAAGCTAATGAAAATCTAGCAGCTAGCCTATAAGGAACTTAATATGGTATCTTTGTCCTTAATCCAGTCAGCCCCCAATTATAGCTGGTAAGATTGTTCCCCTTTAGATGACATTGATGCCCTGAGATTTAATTGGGTTGGAAAGGGGAGCTATGTTCATGAGAAAAAGCCCCAGTGTGGTGCAGGCTTGCATGTCCTCATTGGAGAACCATGGCGTTGGGTAGAAGAAAGTGTGGCCATCTTGTATAAGAAGGCAATAGCCTTGTGAGTGTATGTGGGAGGCCATGCTCCAGGGAGGAAGTAGGACCTGTGTCAGGCTGCTTCTCATGTGTAACTCCTGCCAACTCAAGTGGAGAAAGAGGTAATGAGGAGAAACTTGCCTCTCTGGAGAAGGATAGCAAGGTATTACCTTACATGGAAATGGTCCACACTGGTCATTCAACTCAGCCATAAACATTGAGTTTATAGACATCACCAAATGCCCACAACTATGGCTAAAGTCGGAGATAACGGGCTTTTTCCTGACTTTACAGGAGAATTTGAACAAACTGATGACCAACCTCAGGAGTACCCATCCTCATTTTGTGCGCTGTATCATCCCCAATGAAACAAAAACTCCCGGTAAGAAGCTCTAGAGTGAAGGTACAAAGCATGACTGCTATACCTCTTTTGAAAAAACAGCAACAATTCTGCAGTGTAATCCAAATGTATACTTTTAGGGGCCATGGAGCATGAACTTGTCCTGCACCAGCTGCGGTGTAACGGTGTGCTAGAAGGGATCCGCATCTGCAGGAAGGGGTTCCCAAGCAGGATCCTTTATGCAGATTTCAAACAGAGGTCAGACTCTCTGAATTATGGTACATCTTGAAGTTTACTATAAATATATTTATTGCAAGCAAAACAATTTAGTGAAAAAAATGCCTCTATTCATGTTTAGTTTGCCACAAAGAGTGAAAAATCATAAGCCTCAAAAACACCTTTAAAATATAGATATACCACCTATTTTGTACTCCAGACTTTTCACGGGCTTTACTGAGCTCCTGGCTTAGCCCATAGATATACACATTGACTTCAGTGATTAGGAGAACTACCATTTTTTCATGTGTAATATGTAAGTACTAGCAATACCTCCTCTTATAGATGAATAAACTGAGGCTCAAGAGATTAAGCTACCTGCCCAAAGTCACATGGGTGTTGGTGGCTAGGTTAGGAACTCTCCCAGGCAGGTACAGAGCTCCCAGTGAGTCATTTTCTATCACTTCCTTTGTCTCCCGCCCTCACTCACTGGTTTCCAGAACCCTGTCATACCAGAAAGCAACTCTTTCTCCTCCCTAGATAAGTCCATCTTGGGAATCAAATAGGAGGCATAGGGACAAAGGGCTGGCGGCAGCTCCAGGGAGCTGGCCTCTCTAAGGCTGGGTCTGGTAGAATGGGCAGAGAACTTCAGTGTGCAAAACCCAAAGTACAATTACGCGTGAATTTGGGTGATCAGAACAGTTCCTCCTACCTGAACTGAACCTTCCTACCAGATTCCTCACTAAAAATTTGCTTTCTGGGACTCAGGATCATAAAAAGCAAATGAATCTAGCCAGGAAAACATGTCACATTTTATTGGTCATCTACATCTTAACATGAACAAGATCATGGGATGCTTTCCTGAGAATAAGGTCTGATGAGGCAGAAAGGAAAGTCTGCAACTGTGCAGGAAGGTGGAATGGAATGAAAACTGTTGATGATCTGACCATCCATGTATACAAAGTCCTTCCTGCAAACAAAGAAGGATACTTTTCTTTAAAGCTCTGATGTTCTAAATAGGTCATTTAATGTTTATCTATTAGTGTCATCATAAACGAATTTTTAAAAAAAAACTATATTTACTTAAACAGATACAAGGTATTAAATGCAAGTGCTATCCCCGAAGGACAGTTCATTGACAGCAAGAAGGCTTCTGAGAAGCTCCTTGCATCCATCGACATTGACCACACCCAGTATAAATTTGGTCACACCAAGGTAATGGTTTCTAAAGCGTACCTGGTACTGTGTCCCTTTGAAGTTTATGTATAGTGTCTGATCCGCAACTCCTCCCATGCACAGGTCTTTTTCAAAGCTGGTCTTCTGGGGCTCCTAGAGGAGATGCGAGATGACAAGTTGGCCCAGCTGATAACTAGAACCCAGGCCAGGTGCAGAGGGTTCTTGGCAAGAGTGGAGTACCAGAAGATGGTAGAGAGAAGGTATAAACATAAATTTTTTATTTATTCCCATCTTTCTGCTTCAGAAACACATTTGAGTTGGCTTAAGATCCAGATATGATAAGGCCACAAACATAAGCAAGAATAAAGAGTCCTATACTGATGTGGGGATATACATATACCAGAAAACTAAAGGTAGGGATCATCACCATAAAACATATTTTGAGTGTTCAGGTTAAAGAGAGAGAGAGAGTAAGCATAAAGCGTGGGCAGTTCTTATCTCACAAGAGAAAATATACGAGTATAAAAATATACCAGTGTGAATTTAGGGGGTAGGTCATTAAATTAGATACACTGAACTGAACAGCAGACAGTATTTTCAACAGTGATTTTATACAAGATGCAGAAACAACTTCTTGCATATGATCATTTCTATTATCAAGCTATTATGATGTAAAATATTAAGGGCATTTATCTGTGAAAGATTTTTTCAGAAAGTTAATACAGTGTCACCAAGGTATGTAGCTTTCTGTTGATCTGATTTGATGCAGGGACAGAGTTCTAGTCTAAAGATCCAGGTGTCTCAAATGGCAGAATGCATGTGAATAGGACCCCTGGTGAGAAATGCATTTTATATAAGCATATACACACTCATGTGTGTGTGTGTGTGTGTGTGTGTGTGTAAGTATGTATGTAATTTACATCAAACAAATTTTATTTCTATCACCTATGGTTATGTTAATATTTTCTATTGTATTCTATTTTATTAAAAATAGTAAGTTTGGTCATAACCCACTATATAGATATTTGGGCAGTCAGTTGCCTATATAGGAGGGTAATTAATTTTTTAAATAAATTAATTTTTTAAATGTGATAATATTACAGATTAGAATGCAAAATTCACACAACACATAAAATGTAAAACGAGAGATTTTTACAGAAGTTCTGTCTTTAATGAATCCCTTTGTTTGGTGCCCTCATCCCTCATGGGTCTTGAAAGTGATTTTTACCACTGCTCTTAGTGGTGTTCCAGAAGGAAAGCTTGAGAAGCACTGATGTACAGCAGTAGTTCTCAAAGGGTGGTCCTTAGACCTACATCATCAGCGTCTCTTGCAAACTTGTTACAAATGCACATTTTAGACCACATCTCAGATCTGATGGAATCTCTGGGGTAAGGTTCAGGAACAAGCATTTTAACGAGTCCTTCATGACTCTTATGCACACCAAAAGTTTGAGAGGCACTCATGTAGAGAAATGAGTGATTAACAAGTCCTTGACCATCATCCCAAAATGGAATTTCTCCCATCTGTGCTTTTGAAGGTAGGAGAGGTACACAGTGGGGGCAGAACCTCCAGCTCTCATTGCCAAGATTTCATCTCATTTCTTCATCCACACAATATCAAATTTGCATCAATTAAATTTCAGGGAGTCCATCTTCTGCATCCAGTACAACATCCGCGCCTTCATGAACGTCAAGCACTGGCCCTGGATGAAGCTCTTCTTCAAGATCAAGCCTCTCCTCAAGAGCGCAGAGACCGAGAAGGAGATGGCCACCATGAAGGAAGAGTTTCAGAAAACCAAAGACGAGCTCGCCAAGTCAGAGGCCAAAAGGAAGGAACTGGAGGAAAAAATGGTGACTCTCTTGAAAGAGAAAAATGACCTGCAGCTCCAGGTTCAGGCTGTAAGTAGTGGAGTCATGGTGGGTGCTGCTCATCAGGATGCAAGTGCGAGAAGTCTGGCCACTAGCGGCAGTGAGCTGGGTAGTCAGTGTGGGGACACTCACTGGAAGGAGAAGGTCAAAGCACTCTGATGGTTCTAGCATAGTCCATATATCCCTTCATCGCCCAAACCAGGACTGGGGCAATAAGGTAGAACCGACCACTGTCATCCGTTCTCCACTATTTCATCAAACTGCAGGACTTATGACTTCCCTTTGAAGTCAGTCTTTGAAAGTGATTTTCACATAAAACTATCCCAAATGAAATATTAAGGGGAGGATAGCATGAAGAGATTTATTTTTTTTTAATCTCCAAAACTTCCTTAAACTTCTCGATGTCCAGTTTTAAATCATGATGTGTACAGCTGACAGATGTCAGTGCTCTCCATCACATTTTACAGAATTGTTGTTTGTTACTGACCTCCAAAATTCAGATTCACTCTTTCCAATCCATGTGCACAGTCAGTGCCCCATGGCACCCAGACCGCTGCCTTGGCACCCTGGAAGCTCTGCCTGCCCCCAGCTCTCCCCTCCAGCCAGCCCGCTCACTGCTCACTCCTGCACCAGTCATTTGAGAACTGCCTCCATCAACTGTGAAATGTAATTTATAAGACTGTCTTTCATTTGGAGTGAACCGAATTGGTCTGGTATCATCTACTCATCACAAAATCATATATTTCTCCTGTTGATTAAAATTAGTTTCTTCTGTCAAGTTTGGGCAGTGTAATAACTCTTTCTTCTAGATTACAGAAGGAAAAAGAGCTGTAAGTAGTGGAGTCATGGTGGGTGCTGCTGACCCAGCCCCTTCAAATCTATCCAGTATGCTCTTCTGTTGTCCCTGGAGAATCACTTAGAATCTGTCCTACAGTACTATATTCACTACATGAGCACACACAGCACATTTTACACTTTTATGTATTCAAAGGCTAGCATGGAGGCTCACTGATGAATGTATTTATCAGTTTCTTGCTCATATCTTGTCCACTCCCAACCCTCTTAATTGGAAACATAGCAGGTTGCCAGGAATTTCTTGATTACTTTATGCCTCAACTTGAATGTCGAAAAACATCATAACCACAATCATCCTCCAGTACTACAAAGAGAAGCAGTTCATTAGCAGCTGCATCCTGAATTCCCCACTGGAATGCCTTCTCTCATCCTGCCCCATTTCCCCCAGTGACTTGATTTTTACAAAATGAAATCCTGCCCACCTCTCAAGGTGTAGCTTAAATGTCACTTTATTCAGGAAACTACCTCTAATAGAACTTCTCTGATCTCTTCCGTCACAAACTGCTTTCTGATTTCATGATAGCTTTTGGGGGGTAGGCTTTCTAATCTACTAGAAATATACTATTCTGAAGGAACAGGACATTTGGTTTTCCCACAATGTATCCTGGATTGCACACAGGAGGTGGTTCATAATATCTAAATCCAAAGAACCAACAGCAGAGATTGACATTGTTATCATTTTTAAATATTTCATTCTTTCTTTCCAATTTTGATTTTTTTTCCAACTCAAGGAAGCTGAAGGCTTGGCTGATGCAGAGGAAAGATGTGACCAGCTGATCAAAACCAAAATCCAGCTGGAGGCCAAGATCAA